AGACCTGAAAAGGAAACTTGAATAGCAATCATCTTAAACAGATTCAGGACAAACATCAAGTATAACAGATTCTCTCAAGATAAGTACTCAGGTTCACAGTGCATCTCTAAATCCTAAACTAGATATTCTCTCACAAACCATGAATTTTCATTCTTTCTTAAATGCAGCCACAAAGTATCTCCTAAGAGACAAGGATATCCTAGGGCACATTTATGTCTCGATTATCAATAAATGTTTCAATATTCCTCCTGAGTCTATATTCAGGGGTCTGATTGCCTTAAAACAATTTATCTGTTGAATTTAAATCCATAAAATAACAAGCCTCTGTTACAGAAAAATAAAACACAATTCCATTTGAATTTGAATTCTATTGGTTAAAAGTAAATATTTCCTATTGACTTTACTTCAAATAAGCCTCTTACTTTTAAGTTCCACTGTATTAAGTCCAGTCCAGATCACCTAGACCAATCCTTCCCAAAAGGGAAGCACACATGTAATCTAACAATTCCTTGTTATCACATTAAAAAAAAAAAGTATGATGGACTCTAAATCAGTGATCTATCACAGAAACAAAGAACTGAATACCGCATGTTATCACTCGTAAGTGGATCCTAAACATTTATCACAATACTGCAAGAGAGGGACTGGCAGTAGCAAGACACTGCCAGAGGAGGGGGGTGGGCACATAGCATCACTAAGGATACCTGACCATAACCCAGGGGAAGGAAGGACCACTTTGAGGCCCAAACTTCACCTGCATGCAGACTACTTATTACCTAATACTGACTTGTACCCCACATCTTTATAATAAAATAAAGTAAAAAATAAACAATTCAGTGGCTTTTAGAGTATTCACAAGTTTTCAACCATCACCATTATCAAATTCCATAACATTTTCATCATTTCTCAAAAAAAAAAAAAAAAAATTCCTAAACCCATTAACAGTCACTTCTCAATTGCCCTAGTCCCTCAGCCTCTGGCAATGACTAATCTCCCTTCTATCTCCACAGATTTGCTCATTCTGAACATTTCATATAAATAGAACCGTATAATAAAAAAGAAAAAAGAAACAGGTAAAATAAAAATTCTGATAACCATATTTTACTTAACCCCAAATAACCAGAATAGTCATTTCAACATAAAAAATGTTCAGATATTTTACTTTCTTTCCATATTAAGTCTTTGAAAGTCAGTATATATCTTACAGCACATTTCAATTAAGACTACCCACATTGGACAGACAGCACAGGCCCGAGACCACAGGAGTCTTCGGCGACCTGGCTGCACATCAGAATCACTTTCCATTTAGTCAGTAAATGAACTCACTAGTTCCAGAGTCTGGCGGTAAAGTGGTAAACAAGAAAGATCCCTAAGGATACAAGTGTCTTCTCTATTGTTAAACCATGGGCTTGGAACACAAGACCATATACAGTCTGTTTTCCTAATCTATCTATCTCTTCAGCTTTCATCTCACATCCACATGCTACCATCCTTATACCCTAGGCACACAGTTTCAAATACATTGAAAACTCCTTTTAGCTATTGTGTTGGTTCTTCCTCTTCTCCCCTTCACCTCACCTATGTTCAACACCCTTTCCAAGTGCTATTTTCCACTGTGAAGTGTTTCCTGGTTTCCCAGGCAGCTACTTATTGTCTACACTGTGCATTTTGTTTGCATCTCTCTGGCATACGATCACATGCTATGGAATTACAATTTCTCCACTTATGAGTCTGTCTCCCCACAAGATCAGGGGTCACCAACCTCAAAATTCAGTCATGCTGGAGTTGACAGCAGTGACAGAGAAGAGATGGAATTACAGTTAATTGGCTAAAAATCACATTCATTCTACCTTAGCCATGCCTATGCTATCCACACTACAGCTGCCCTTACCTAACATAAACCTGATCTTCCTATAGGAATTCATTACATGAAGCTCAAAAGTCACATGTGTTGCAGCAGGTATGTACCATAGAAACAACGGTATCTGTTAACCTGTCATACATAAACCCCAAATAATTAATACCCTTGTATTCTAGCTTATTAACAGTTTTGTCTAAGTTTGGATAGTGAATTCCCTAAAACCTGATCACTGTTGAAACTTTTAACTCTATCCCTTAGGTATACGTGAAGCTCAATGCCTTTGAGGTCTTTCACAGATAGAGAAATTAAGAATTGGGCTTTAAATTTCTTAACAAAATGCCAACTTTGCTGTACTAATCTGATATGACAAACACAAAAATCTTTATGATAACAACTTAAATTTAGATATCTGTTAACAACCTAAATCTCCAGTTCTGTTGTTCTCCAATGCTCCTATTAAGAACCTAAACTCAATTTACATTAGAGAGACAAGGCTAAGAGTCATTTTAATACCAGTATATACCATTTATTAAGCAGCCATCATGGAACAGTCATGTAACATTTTTTAATATATACTTTTTTCACAGCAACACACTGACAGTCAGCACCTCCATTTTACAGGTAAGGAGACAAACAGTAGAGTTTAACAATTCCTAAAGTAATGTGTTCAGAACACAAATTGCAAATGTCTACTCTTTACACTAATTACAATTCATCTATGTGGTGTGTGGGAGTCAACTTGTACTGACTCTCAAAAGCTGACTTAAGCTTTTAGAAATTCTGGAAGCCATTGTCAAACACAGTCATGATTAAATAATTAAAAACAAAGGTAATAATTACTCAAAACTCACTTCTTAAATATTTTAGTACATTTCACTCTTGAGGTTATTACATTGTGTATGTGTGTGTGTCTGTGCATAAAATACATAATGGGAATACTACATATAATATACAATGGTGTGATATTTACCATCTCTTCCCAACTATGTATCTGTCAGTGATATCTCTATGATAGCTTGAAAATAGCTATGACTGGAATATTTACAACAAATAAATAGGCAAATCTTACAAAGCCTGGATTCCTTATTTTCAGAGTGGTTTTTGACTCAGTGGATTAGTCAAATATAGACAAGTATTTTGAAAAAGATCTTCCCTTGAAAAGAACTTTGATAAATACCTCTGACTGAGAACTATTGCTTAAGATTTCTAAAACTGTATCACTGTATCACATCAGACATTAGAAAACTACACACTTTAAATTGATGCCAGGAGTGGTGGCTCTTGTCTGTAATCCCAATGCTTTGGGAGGCCATGGTAGGAGGATCACTTGAGGCCAGGATTTTAAAACCATCCTGGACAACATAGAAAGAACCTGTCTCCACACACAAAAAGATTAGCAGGGCACAGTGGTGTGAGCCTGTAGTCCCAGCTACTTGGGAGGCTGAGACAAATGGATCATCTGAGCCCAAGTGGTCAAGGCTGCAGTGAGCTGTGATCATGCCACTACATAGCAGTCTGGACAACAGAGTGAAACCTTGACTTTAAAAAACAACAACAAAAAAACCCCCCAAACAAACAAACAAACCCTGCATTACTTTATGAATAAAAAAAATAAGTCTCCAACAAATTATAACATAATACTGCCATAGCTTTTTTTTTTTTAATCATGGGTCAAAAATAGCCAACTCAATTTTAAAAGTGGGCAAAGGACTTCCAGAGAAAATGAACAAATAGCCAATAAATAAGCACACAAAAAGATGTTCAACATCATTATCTATCGGAAATGCAAATCGAAACCACAATTAGATCATCACTTCACACCCACCAACATAGATATAATCAAAAAGTTAATAATAATAATAAATGTTAGGGAGGATGTGGAGAAACTGGAGCCTTCATTATCTACTGTAAACAATGTAAAAGGATACAGCCACTTAAGAAAACAGTCTAGCAGTGTGTCAAAAGAGTAAACATACAGTTAACATATAATTCAGCCATTCCACTCCTTAGTATAAACCCAACAGAAACAAAAACATGTCTACACAAGAACTTGTACACAAATGTTCAAAGCAGCATTATACATAAGAGTCAAAAGGGGAAAAAGCCCAAATATTCATCAGCTGATTAATGGATAAACAAAATGTGTATCAATACAACGTAACATTATGTGGCAAAAACAAGGAATAAAATATTGATGCATCCTATACTTTTTCATGAACCTTGAAACACTATACTAAGTGAAAGAAGATAATCACAAAAGATCACATATCTTACGATTCCATTTATGTGAATTGTCCAAGATAGGCAAATCTACAGAGAAAAAAAGGATATTTGGTGGTTGCCTAGGGTTAGTGATAAGTGGGCAACAGGAGAGTAACTGCTGAAGGGTTTGGGCTTCCTTTACAGAGTGATGAAAATATTCTAAAATTGACTGTGGTAATGATTTTACAACTCTGTAAATATACTAAAGATCAATAATGTGTACACTTTAAATGGCTGAATTATATAGTATGTGAATGATACCTCAATAAAGCTGTTACAAACACATACACAGGTATGATAATTTTATTTTTTTAAAAAATTAGCTCTGGAAAGATCTCCATTCCTGACAACATTAGGTTTACTTTTATTCAACGAAGTAGGTTATAAATTACGTTTTCCTTGGCTTCACTGCCAACAAATTCACACCTAAATTTTTTGGCTGTATGTGCTGCTTTCTTTTACCTAAGCCTTCTGGTTCAGTTTTGTTATCCTCAGGTTTTGGTTTCATTGTTTTAATTGATAAGGGTTCCACTGTAAGCCACTTCAATCTTTCTTGGAAGCAGGATATAATGGCTGACTAAACTCTAAAAATTTAAGAACTTTAGATACTCATGATCCCTCTCAAGGTATGAAACGTCTATTAAGAAGTTCAGTTTGAGCTCTGACAAGCAATCCCCTTCATCTTAACTACCATAACGAACTGAAATAATCAGTTTTCCCAGGGAATTTTTTCCTCTAATTTACATTGTCCATACAGAATATGATAATGCTATATTATACATTTATCATATATTTAGAACACAAGATAATAGTTAAAATAAAAGTTAAATATAAATCACCACTGAAATTTTACTTTGTTTGGGAAATTCATTCCTACCCTAACAGGTGAGGATGACTCCTCTGTATTTCGTTTCTGGGGTTCACTGTCCACATCTTGACGCTTGTTCTTCATTCTTTCTCTAAGATCCCCTGTAGGTCTTTCTGGTGACCTTTGAACCGAAACACAAAACAACAAAAAGCTATATTTGTGTCAAAATTTATAAGAATATATTGACAAAAATAAACTCATAAACTTCAGCACAGTTTTTCTGTCTTTGGCTCCTAAATTTCTGAAAAATAATTAGTTTCAGCTGATATATTAATATACAAAAATATGAGAAACATTCTCAGTACTGGTGATGTGAATAAGAAATTATATGTGAACTGAGAGAAAAAGAATTAACATCTTGACTTGTTTTCCTATTAACCACATAAGCATATTAGTTACATCTGAAAGTTAGGAGTAGTAGCAAGATTAAGTTTTAAACTACAAAGTTGCAAAATTAATCTAGAGGCAGCAGCAGTATTAACAACACATATAAGTAGTTAGAAGCAACATCAGTTGAGAAAATACTATATGCATTTTAAGAATCAAAGCAAATATAGGAGCTGTATAATTTTTCTTAAATTTTAAATTGCTTCAGAATAAAGATAAAGAACTCAAAACAAAATTTTAGAATAGTGATTATTAAGCAAGTTTAATCTAGCCAAGCCTTTATTAAAGGCAAAATGATATTCAAAATAGATAGTAAATGTACTATCCATTTTGATCTATATATAAATACATATTTTAATCTACATTTGCACATTGTGATAAGGATTTAGCAAATGTATTCTAACCTACATAATTTGTATAAAATTTGAATTTGAAACATTATAAAAAGCTAAAATGATACACTACTTGAATTTTAATATTTTAGAATTAGCTAAAAATAGCCTATCCTCACCAAAAATAAATTCAGTCATCATGGAATTCTGCTGTCTTAAGCAGCAATTTAAGACATAATTAAGGGGGGGAAAGTAAGCCATATACATATTACGATCTATTGTCAAAACAAATAAACATTGAACAAATAAGTTAACTTTAAGGCAAACATTTAATTAATTAATTAATCATTAATCTTGAAAATAACAAAAACACTTGTCAATCTATGACTATTGATAAGACTACCATTAAAATAGAACAATCTGACCAAATACATGGTTAGATTTCAGGTTTTTATATTAGAATATGTATACACTACAAAAGCCATCTTCTAGCAGTACATGAACAACTCAGAATACTCAGTTTACCTTCTATAATTGCTGCTATAACCTTTACCACGAGGTGAAGGGCCATGTACGAATCTGCATGTGTTTCCATAGAGACAGTTGCCAGTCTTCAGCCAGTTACGGCACTGTGTCTAAGAGACAGATGTTACCAAGTAAATTTCATGTTTATTTCTGGGGGGGGGAATGCTAGTGGGACAAAGTTAAAACAGATGTTATCAAAATTCCAGCTAACCTGTGGTATATTACTCCCCAAATAATTAAAACATCAGAAAAAAAGATGAAAAACCCATAAACTCTATCACCTTTTCTACTTCTTTTTATAAAACAAATTTTAAAAATTTTCCTAAATCAACATTCCTACAGTCAAACAACCTGTTCACCTTTATGATATAAGCCAGTAATTCAATAACAGGATTCTAAAAGAACCCCTGTGACTATGTTAGAGAACTCACCTCTGCTGTACTGCCAGTGCTGGGTCCAAGCCTCTCAAATACACTGGGTCTTCGGGATGTGCTGTCAGATATGGTCTTGGTATTTTCCACTGTGACCTTCCTTCTAATTTTTGACATTTCGTACTACTTTAACCAAAAAAGAGAGAGGCAAACTGTAAAATTCTTCAATTTTAAATAACTGAGCCTACAACTTACAAGCATATAAAACTATAGGCAACACTGTAAAATTGCAGGGGATATTCCAGGGGAGAAAAAAGGCATAGGAGAGATCAGAGGTAAACAGTGATACAGCCATCTTCTAAGACATGACTTACTGACAAATTTATAACAACTATGAAATGTGTTGGTTAAAACTGTACCTCTGTGGAATGAACAAATACCATTCTATCCACACGGTAAAGTTTTCATAGCAATCACAGCACATTCAACCACAGGAAATAAACTACAAAGTGTTTAGTTTATAAGTTACTTATACAAATTGCTTAAAAATTTAGTAACTCTAAGCTTTAAGAAAGAGTTGTCAACCATCAACTGGTTAACTGAAAAAGAGTTATGCCAAAAAATGAAATAAAAATAAAATTAGGTGAAAATTGTATTGATGGCAGGAATTATGTTTTCATACAGTTCAAGTGTTAACAGTAGTTATGTTCCAAAAATCAGCCTGGAAGACAAATGAACGCTATTTAAATATTTTATTTGCCTTACAGAGGTCAAAGAAAAGCATAAAGGATATTTATTTTCCAGTAGTATAAAAATCAAAACAAAACTCATTCTTGATTAAATGATTTTCTTTCAAAACAGGACAGCCTGTAGAACTAGAAAAAGTCAAGAAGTTTCTATAATTTATACTACACTGTTATAAAAGTCAAAGATGCTAAAAATAATTAACAGACTTGTCATTGTTAGTAACAAGAAAAAAAACAGAGAAGATATTTTTTAGAAGTACATAAAACATTCAAAAACAAACTATAATAGAAAACTAACCATCAGGTGATTCAACTAGAAATGCAAATATCAGATGACAGTATGATATATATCAGAAAACATTACTACATTGTAGACCAAGATATAACCGGAGTGTACACTACTGAGGGACAAGGATAGGAAAAAACTAAATTTATCACAATTTATATGACAGACGATAATTAAGTTCACAAACTAATCCTACAAAAAGTGCTACATATCTCATTGCTGAATATCACTATAGTCACCTGCGAAATACTCCCCTTGGGAAGTTATTCAACCAATGCCTGTGCCTAGTCCACCCATCAAAGCAATTTTGTGACTCTTTATCTGGAACGGCCATCAGAGCTGTCCTTTTATTACTCTTGAGGTCCTGAATGCCATCAAAATGTGTTCCTTTCAATATTTCCTTTATCTTCAGGTAAAGAAAAACGTTATTGGGGTCAGATCATATGAGTAGGGAGGGTGTTCCAATACAGTTATTTGTTTACTGGTTAAAAACTCCCTCACACAGTGCTGTGTGAGCTGGTGCACTGTGATGCAAGAGCTCCTCTGGGAACATCTTTGCACACACCTTTCTCATGCCAAGATTTTCAGTTAAGATTTTCCTGTATCTCTAACGATGCTCATTTGGTCTGCTATGCTTTGCACAGTCAGTTAACACACAATTTGACAAATTTTTTGCAATGTCTTCATCAGTTCTGCTCTTTATTGGCCATCCTGATCTCTCTTCAGCACTGACGCTTTCTGTCCCCTCAGAAGATCACTTAATCCATTTGTACAATGCTGTTTTTCTTCATGGCATCATCCCATAAACTTGGACTAACATGTCCTTGATTTCACTTCCATTCTTGCCAAGTTTAACAAGAATTTAATGTTTGTTTGCTGCTGTAATTCGAATTCCAACATTCTCGCAATGGCAGCTCTGATGGCCATTCCGAAAGGGTTCCCAAATTGCTTTGACTGGTGGACTAGGCGCTGGCTTTGGTACAGTTTCCCAAGGGGAGTACTTCAAAGGTGACCGTAGTGATATTCAGCAATGAGGTATGTAGCACTTTTTCTAGGATGAGTTTACAAACTTGTCAGATCTTGTACAATATAAATATTAGATGAAATCTTATCAGTCATCAAAAGTTACCAGAATTAATGATGGCAGCTAAAAGTTTCATTTGGAAGAGAACTGATCTACCTTTAGGTCACAAAAGTCTTTACTGTGGTTTCAAAGTAAAGACATGTCATGTCAAAGGAAATTAAATCATGGTAGTACCAAATGAAACAAAAATTTATAAACAATGTTTGGCACAATTAGGTACTGCAGGTCATAGTTTAAAAGGGTTCATAGAATAAAAATACCATTTGACAAATGAAAAAAGATGGCAAACCAAGAAAAGGAAAATATGAAATGATACAATATGGTGGTTTAAAATCAGAAAGTCTATATTTTCCTTATTCATTAATATAAAATGTAATCATTCTTTTAATACAATAGCAATTAATTTTTAGTGATTCAAAGTTAGAGAACTACTTTAAAGTAATTACTTTAAAAATATTAATGTAAAGTGTCACATAAATGAATACGAATTTACTGCAACATCAACTGTTCTCCAAGTAAGGAACTATATACCAATTCTACATACTAGCATTATAAGGTTTTTTTTTTGAGTTGGAGTCTCACTCCATCGCCCAGGCTGGAGTGCAGTGGCACACACATGGCCACCCCAGCATCAACCTGCCGGGCTCTGGTGATCCTTCCGCCTCAGACTTCCAAGTAGCCAGAACTACAGGCACGTGCTACCACGCCCAGCTAATTTTTTATTTATTGCAGAGACGAGGTCTTGCCAAGTTGCCTAGGCTGGTCTCGAATACTCAGGCTCAGGCAATCCACTTGCCTTGGCTTCCCAGAGTGCTGGGATGACAGCCTTAGCCACCGAGCCTGGCCGATAATTTTTTATTTAATTTTTCTTGGAGTTATTCTCAAGCCACATGTGAATACAGAGAAAAAGATGGTAAAATTTCCTATGTCCATTTGATTTACTGAGCATAAAAAATTGAAAGCTAAGAGTAGTAGAACTGAAAAATATCTGGAAAATGTATAATTTCGATTAACTGAGAAAAACATCGTTTTACAATTTATATCCAAGCAAGATTCAATGAGAAGTAATGGCATCACAAAACATATGTGGACACTTAGAGAAAAACACATTTTAAAGTTTCATTAAATATTGCCATATTATTAATTTACAGATATACAGCATAATCCTCAACAAGTAATTCAATTTTTAAAAACATTTCTTAATAAACAAAACTGAATAGATTCCAAATTTTCCCTATTAGCTAGTTATCTAGAACTTAGAAAACAGTTACACCACTCTACCGCACTGCCTCAAGCAGCTAGCCCTTCACATTTTCCCATCCACTGTCAATGGAAATGAGTTAGTTCTGACCTCAACACTGCTACCCACAACATGCCTCCACTCCCAACAACACACTCTCCTTAAAAAAAAAAAAATTAAATAGTAAGGGTGTCCACAGTCAGGACAAGCTGTCTATTATTATACGTATACTTAAAACACTGGCCATCTATCATCTCTTGTTTTTCTGAGGGATCCACGTATTAACTCCAGTTTCTTTTCCTGCTGTCATTTGTTGCTTGAATCAGCACTACTCGCCTTCCTTCACCTAATGCTCAACTGAAAAACTTCTTGACAATCCTGTATCCCCAACACAAGCTTTGAAGATTTCAAATAATTTGGGCTGCTATGACAAAGGCAATCAAGTGAAGATGAATGATTCACCTCCAGCCCTTGTATTCTTGCCACTAAAAAAGCTGCTTTCCACAGAGACACAACTGCTTTTACAGGTGACTTGAAGAACCACTTAAGATTCACCTACATAGTGATAATCCCAGAAATTTGACTTCTAGTTACTATTGAGTCTTCCAATTTAGGGAAGAAATACAATTAAATAAAGATGTACTTTCCTTTAGGAAAATGGCGCTACCCATCTGAGTACCAGGTCTAGGTTACAAGGAGGTCCTAGACAGAAAAAAAATTTAAATATATATAGAAATTGAAGATTTCTAACTGAAAGAGGAATTTTTCTGATTGTTCACCCAGGAACTTCTGTCAGTATTCAACAATAAAAAGTTACTTAAAGTAAGATGAATGAGACATTCATGAGTTTGCATAAATACAATGCTTTATGCTTGCAAAAAACAAAGTATAGAACTTTTAAAATACCACTGTCTAAAAATGCAATTAATGCCATCTTTTGAGGGAATGATACTTAAAATGTGTAAACATTTTTTTAAGCATCCTCTATATATACATGATCTGCAACAGAAAAACATTCCTGCTACATATATTAATTTTAAACTATGTTACCAGCTAATGTGACAATTAGAATTTTTTTTTTTTTTTTTGGAGTCTTACGCTTTGTTGCCCAGGCTGGAGGGCTGGAGTACAGTGGCACGCTCACGGCCACCGCAGCCTAGACCTGCTGGGTTCAGGCAACCCTTCCACCTCAGCCTTCCAAGTAGCTAGAACTACAGATGCATGCCACCACGCCAGGCTAACAATTAGAATTTTCAATCCTATTTAGAAACGCGGGTCCACAAAGGAAAATAATATCACAACAGAATAAATTGCAGATTAAGGGGAAAAAAACTTTTTCAAAATTGTTTGAAATAACTGAACAGTCTTCAATGAGAAGTAAATGCTTCAAAGTATGTAAGAAAAGTTAGAAACAGTAAGATAAAGATGTACATGCTAAAGTCTTTCTTATCAGAAACTACAAATTGAGGTCACATCAACAACTTACTAATTTAGTTTAATCTTCTATGAAGGTTTTCCCACATTTTTGTTACCAAATTATTCCTTGATTTGTGGCCATCACACCTCCACCCGCATCATCATGTCTTTCCCAAACACAAGCATTATCAAAGCCACAGAGACACTGATGAAAATTTATTGTTATTTTCCTATTTCTCCTCTTCATTTGCAGAGTAAACAAACACCTGAAGTTTTACAATCTCTTTTCAATTTTAAAAGAAAATGAAAATCCAGGACAAAGTTTGAGTTTTTAATAAAGACACAGCAAAAGAAGGTCTTAATAAATGGAAAATGCTTCCCAGCCCCAGGAAACTTCCAACAGCATAAAGTACTCAAAGGTTCACTATAAATGTAGTTGAGAAGGAAGAAACATACAGGAACCTCTTTTGGGACAATTAATTACTCCTGAAGCCCAATTACTAAAATCTTGTCAATAAACATATATGAGTTCTAGTATTTTCACTTCAATCCAAAATTACATTTTTTTCAAGGTCTCCTCCATCAGAAGCATAAATGAAAGCACAAACCACTTTAACCTGGATGAGTAAAGGCATAATAAGAGAAAACTGTCAAATAATTAAGCAATTAAAACTATATAAATGTATTTTTAGTAGGATAAATTCCTATACCTTGAATTTCTACGATTAAAAAGGTTATACTAAAAATAGTCTCTTCACATTTCTATTTCATCTTTAAAAAAAAAACTAAGTTTATTTAATGAATAGTTTGAGAGAACTTTTTAAAAAGAATTTTCTAAAACAAATTTCCATATTGCTTATCTGCAGATTTAAGACAATTCCAAACTGAATTCCATTCAAACAGAATCAACATAATTGAGCTGACTACTAAGGGATTAGCAAAGCAACACTGTAGCACTGTGCAGAAAAAAATAATTTGTTAAAAAAGACTGCACAGATAATATCCCATGCTGGCAGCTACTATAAATTAAACAGAACTGCAACACACAAAACTTCTAAAAAAATAAAAAGACACTTTCTATATCAACAGTGGTTAATGTTTCAACTGCTAACAAACATCTGGTGAAATAGCACCACCTCTATATGAGATTGGGGGAGACAAGGGAGGAAGGAAGTAGGGAATAATAACATCCACTGAAAACCAATTATTCAAACAAATGTAAAAGACAATTTGTAAATGTCAATGCATATTATAATACAAACTCTCATGACTTATTAAAATTTTAATAACATATAGATGTTAAAAAAGCATCTACTTGCTAGATTTTAGTATTTTAAATTCATATTACATTTTGATTAACTGATGCTGGAGGAAAAAGGAAATTCATATCACAAACATGAAAATCAGATAAGTTTGCAAATCTCAAAATATGCAATCAGTGCTCATTTCGAATGACAGGAAAAGGTACATATTTAATAAAACTGGATCCTACTAGATGATCACAGTGAAAATTTGTTTCACAGTGCTAGTATTCTTACAGACACCAACCACCACATGCCTGCATCAACTTTCTTACTCTGTCTGGTATCATCTAAGTAGTTCATTAAGAAATTAGAAATTATTCGAAAATCTATAGATTGTATCCACAACATGCTCCAATATATTGTCTCTTAGGTATTAAAGTCAGTAATTTCAAATATTACAGAACTAGATCCCACTAACTGGCACCATATATCCATGGTCTGAGCTGCATTAGAACTTACTGCAAAAGAATCATGGACTTTGAAAAACAGAGGTGTAACTACTTTTTCCAAACTTTTTACTTCCTTAAAAATCTGAAAACTTGAAGAGACTTCAATTCTCATAATTTTCAAAAGAATTCAAATTATCTGAAAGCCTCATAAATAACCAAATAGCTTAAGACTGCACTCAGCCGGGCTCGGTGGTTCAGCTTGCAATCCCGCGCTGGGAGGCTGAGGTGAGTGGATTGCCTGAGCCCGCGGGTTCGAGACCCGCCTGGGCAGCGAGACCTCATCTCTACAATAAATCAAAAAATCAGCCGGGTGTGGTAGCGCATGCCTGTAATTCCGGCTACTCGGAAGGCTGAGACGGAAGGATCGCCGGAGCCCAGCAGGTCAAGGCTGCAGTGGCCAGGAGCGGCCACTGCACTCCAGTTTGGGTGACAGAGTGATGCACTCCAGTTTGGGTGACAGAGTGAGACTCCAACTCAAAAAAAAAAAAAGACTGCTCTCCACAAACAAGATTCTACCAATATCATTCAGAGTCCATTTGCTCGTTTAAAACTCTGAATAATTTTCAAGCCACATAAATTATATTAACCTTTTTAGAAAGAGATAATGCCAAATATCAGATCCTCTCCATTCATTTCACCTTCCCCAGTTTCTGACAAGGCAGTCATCAAAATAACTACCAAAAAGTTGTACTCCTCAACTCCCAAAACCTAAATCGTTATCACTGCCGAGAAATAAGCAAGACCAAATAATCACAAATGAGATCTGGTTTTTCAAATAGGTTTGGAATGTTTATAGAGGAAGACTAAACTAAGACCATGCTGCTGCACCCTGACTTCGCATACAAATGCGAATACGTGCAAGGGTTCTCATGCCAGCCTCAGATGGTTAGTAAGGAACACAGCCTTTTTGTGTGCGCCTTCTGTCCCTCTTAGACAAATCCAGAATCATAACTAGGGCGAGAAGCAAGTTCTGAGCACAGGGAGCTATTGCACAGTTAGGGGTGGGATGCTCAAGAAAAACTCAAAATCCCAGTGTGACTCAAGCGAGGATGAAGGACAACTCGGGCCTCCGCATCCCGCGTCCGCCCAGTGCCTTTTCCCGGACAGCCACGCCAACTCACAGACCGCTTACCTCCTCCCCGAGTTCCCTTCGCAAGTGCAGTTCGGAGGCGCTACTGCCGCCTCCGCTCCGGGGAGCGGGAGAGGCGACTTTCCGTCCCCGCGCCTGGCCCCGGGGGGACGACGACAGGGAGAAAGAGGTGCGCGCGCGGCTCCCGGGAACCGGCCCTCGGCTAGCTAGGCGCTCCCGGGACGGCTGAGAAGCGGAACCCGCCCGCCGCTTCGCCAGGGTCCAGTGACCCTGAGATGGAAGAAGAAAGTGAACTAAGAGAACGTAGAGCAGGAAAGCGCAGCGCAAACACTACCAGGCCGCTGAGACGACCGCCTCAAGACGCCGCCGGAAGCCCAGGGTTTGTCGGGTTCCTCTCTAAAGCAGGATAGCTTCCGGCCGCCAGATTAGTCGTCACGCGCAGGCACCGCCCTTCCATGGACACGCCCTCTGGGCGTGACGTCGGCTGCGAAGAGTGAGCGTGTTGGCGGGCGGTACACCAAGGTTGTGCTTCGTGAGGGATCCCGGGAGAGCAAACTGGGAGCCAGGGAGAACTAAAATTCCCAGTTAGGTGTGAATTTAAGAGTTTTCTATTTTTATTGCATGATTTGTTTTAAATGAGCAAAGTACCACATTTGTTGTCCAAAGTAACTACAGCCATTCATTCATTTGCTCAACAATATTTATTAGCAGCTGAGCTGGAGAGAAAGTGTTTGTCGTTGACACCCCTGCCCTTTCTGGGCCATCGCCTATCACTGTGGAGCAAGCAGAATGCACGATTTTGTTTTTAAAGGCGCAAGCAGAAATTGATTGAAAATTTGGAGCAGAAAACTTTAATGTTCCTTGGGATTCAATGATCTACATGAAACTAGTTATTAAACAGATGCTTGAGATGGCTAGTCAAACGTCGGAAATCAAAGGAAAAAATCAGTACCTAACCTTTTACAATTAAAAAATTAAAAAAAAGGTAAAAAGACGTAAACCCTAGTCTACCTTAATTTCAGCACTTATTTTGTTCTTTGACAAAACCAAGGAGCAGGAAAACCTTTTATCAAAACTAATAAAACTTAAAAATGAACTAGTACAATTATTTGGTCTTGCTGGAATTAGTAAAATACGAAAGCAGAGTGAAAAAAAATCAAGGGCATTACATATTCCTAATGACATGCCAAGCTATTTTAGACACAGCAGCGAGAGCTTCTTTACAAGTGGGTCTGATGTAACGTGCTGGCAGCAAGAATCCAAATTGGCCAGTATCTCTGAGTTCGATTGTAAACGAATACTTGATGCCCAAATCATAGATCCAGTCATCCGAACCTCCAGGAGCTAGATCTAAATGAAGAAAGAAATTACTTTTTGAAATATAAGTGTTTCAAATTAATTAACAAAATGAGAAATTTTTAATAAAAATAAAAATAGCTTTGCTTTTCTCTGATTATTAAGTAACTTACATTTCTTGTAGAAAATGGAGATAGAGGCCGGGCTCGGTGGCTCAGCCTGTAATCCCACGCTTTGGGAGGCCGAGGGGCGTGAATTGCGTGAGCCTGAGGGTTCAAGACCCGCCTGGGCAACTTGGCGAAACCTCATCTCTACAATAAATTAAAAAATCAGCCGGGCGTGGTAGCGCGGGCCTGTAATTCCGGCTACTCGGAAGGCTGAGGCTGAAGGATCGCCGGAGCCCAGCAGGTCGAGGCTGCAGTGGCCAGGAGGGGCCACTGCACTCCAGTCTGGGCGACAGAGTGAGACTCTGACTCAAAAGAAAAAAAAAATGGAGATAGAAAGAAAACAAAAATTGCTCATAACCCTATTATAATCCTGAGGAGTGTTAATCACCAATAACATTTTAGTGCATTTTTTTAGTAAGTGCATTCATATACTTAATTTTTTTACTACATAAGTAAGATCACAGTAAATGCTTTTTTGTAATATTTATGAACATCATCATTGTAAAATAGCTAAATATAATATTAATGAGTTCAAATCTACAAAATCATTTTCAATGATCTCATAACATTGCATTGTAAAGCTAGATATAATTGATTCAAATAATTATTTATTCATTTGATACCCTTAGATTTTTTGCAATTTTTAAGTAATATAAACACTTTACAATGAACACTTTTGTTTATACATAATTGCGTTTTATTTCTTTAGACTATTCTTTCCTAGAAGTAGATTTGCTAATTTAAGGGTGTGCACTTTTTATGATTGTGATACGTATTCCCAACCCCTCCCACACCATCAATAGGAGTTATGCATTCTGATTTTAAGGAAAAATAATGTCCAATTGTCTTAATGGATGTTTCTTTGTCAGTGAATTGAACATTTTGCTTGGCATACTTATTTTCCATCTTTATATTTTCTATCAATTATCCTTTCTCATTTTTCTACTTGGTTCATTTTATAGGTTACTTATAAACACAACATTAATGTTACTAGCCCTCAGTAATAGCAGAGAATTTCTTTTCCTCCCATTTGGTTATTTAGCTTTCAATTTAGTTTATGGAAGAGTTTTTTGTTTTTTTTTAATCTTAAAATATATGATCTATCTGGAATTTACTTTGGTGAAAGACAGTAATCTAATTCAATTATTTTTTTCTAGGTGACTTGTTAGGTTTTCCAACCCTATTAATTGATTAATATAACTTTCTTTTTTTTTCGCACAGTGCTGAATTTATTCCAGGATTATGGCAAACTCTGACCCAAATTTTTAATTTTTAATTTGAGCATGTATTTTATGCAGTTTGGGAAGCATCAAACCAAATCTATAATTGCTGGAAGCCTTGTTACAGTTTAATTCACATTAACTAAAATGTGTACCTTTTTTTAGTGTTCATAATAAATGAAATTATGACATTTTTATACTTGCGCCATTCTTTAAGAAAGTACATTAAACTTTAATATAGAAATATTTAGGTTATTCTTAAATTGTGCTCAAATAATAATAAAACACTTGTGCTTTTTTTGATTTCATACATTCTCTTCTCAGATATGGCTCAGCTTCCGCACACTTGGAGTGGCCTTTGGCTATGTGGCTGGACTTGTTATTTTACCACTCTGAACATACTGGAATAGAAACTTGCTTTCGCCGGGCACAGTGGCTCATGCCTGTAATCCCAGTTCTTTGGGAGGTGAGGCAGGAGGATGATTTGAGCCCAAGAATTTGAGACCAGCTTAGGCAACATGGTGAGACATCGTCTCTGCTAAAAAGTCCAAGAAATTAGCTGAGCATGGTGGCATGTGCCGGTAGTCCCAGCAATTCAGGAGGATGAAGGGGAAGGATTGCCTAAGCCCAGGAGTTCGAGGCCATAGTGAGCCATGATAGTATCACTGCACTCTAGCCTGGGTGACAGAGTGAGACCACTGACCAAAAAAAGAAAAAAACAAAACAAAACTTTCATATAAGAACAATTAAATGGAGCAACGGGAGAAAATATTTCTTTGTGCAATTCCATAAGGGCTATGCAGAAATGTATATGGCCAAAGCAAAACAGTTCCACAGCACTGTTTTTATGTAGTTACAACATGGTGTGATTGTATCTTTTCAAACTATGAAACCCTTGAAAGATTTTACTTTTAGTTGAAACAGGTTTTTTAAAACAGATTGTGGTATTTACTGCGTTTTAGACCTTTAAGAAACATTCTTAATGAACCCATAGAATTCTGAGAACAGTGGTTTTTTTTTTCCTTCAAGCTTTAAACTGCTTCATTATCTTAAAGAGGTCTGGTATATAAGCTTTAGCATTTTACAAACCTTCTGAGAGAAATGGACTGTTTTCTTGATCACTGAAGATGTTTCTCATGTAATCAAGCAACAGTTTATACATCTTAATCCTATTCTTTTTTTTTTTTTAACTGTGTGTTTCTTTGGAGTTAAAACAGCTATGTTAGCCCCATCAGAAAAAGATCTTTAATCTGGGTTAAAGCTGATCACTCCATATAGCAGCATGCTCCTATCTCTTGTGCTAGTCTCTGTCCTTGTTCCACACATACAGGTGTTTATTTCAGTCATACACTTTGCTAAAGTTTTGGGGTCATCTTGGAGATCAGTTTGAGTTCCTCTTAATAATAAGAGTGTACCTTTATTATTTGATGCATATTCCCTAAGTTCTGGTACCCACTTATCTTTCACATTTTGACATGAGGCTGGATTTACCACAGAGAAACATATACAGAAGATATTAGTCATTGGGTAAAGTTTCTTAACTGTTTTGAAATGCCTTCTTTATAAGATGCCAGATCTCCTATATATTTGAGTGTCTTTCTGTGCTCACTATTTCCTTCTATTGATCTGTCTCTTCCAGGCCCAGTTCCACATTGTCTTAATTACTATAGGTTTATAATGTGTTTTAATACCTGACTGGGGGCAAATTCTTTCTTACTATTCTTATTTTCAGAATTTTACAGGCTCTTCTATCAAATCTATTAAATGAACCTCAAAATCATTTAAGTGCTCATTGGGATTGCATTAAATATATAACTAATTTAGAATGTTTTTATATTACTTTCCCACTCAAAAACATGGTAGATTTCTCCTTTTATTTGTCTTCTTGTATATACACCAGTAAAATTTTCTAGGTTTTTCATATAGGATCCATAAATTTATTTTGTGTGTGTGTATACACACAAATGCAAGTATACATTTAACAATGAATACATATATATGTATGTATGTATTAATAAAATATCTGTATGTGAACATGTGTATGTATGTAATGGAGGGCAGTAAGATACTTTTTCCATCTTATTTTTTACCTGATTATTTTTGATATATAAGAAAGTTGTAGATTTGTATATATTGAGGTCATAGTCAGCCACTTTACCCAACTCTTTGTCACATATTTTTGGTTGACTTTCTAGTTTTCTACAGGTAGAAAATTACATAATATGCAAAGAATAATCCTTTTCCCCTCTTTCTACCTGTACTTAGATTCACTACAAAGTTGTTTCATAAGCACCTTTTATAATATTTTAAAATATCCATCAACAATGGTTTAGATAAATTATTAATTGAATATTTCTGATAACCATGTTCAACATCTGGCATTTATTCTCCTAGCCATTTTCTGATGCTGACATACATACACATCTAGATAAGTGCTGCACAAATAATGTGTGGAGAGAGACTGATTTCATTCTAACAGGAGGTTCCTCTATAAACTTCTCCAGCCCTGAGGCACTATAGTTAATGCTTTGGGGAACAATAATAAAGAAGCAAGAGAACTAAAAAAGGTTCTGAATTGTGAAGATAAGTGGGGAGGTTCATTTTTAACAAGATGAGGGCCAGCAAAGGGAGCAGTGGACCAGGGACACCAAGAGGCAGAGGTACCACATGATTAATTTGGCAGACAATTGGGGGTGATAGGGGAAAGAGGAGGGAGATTCTGGACTTTCTACTAAATAGGGAATCTGGTGCTCAAGTAATTTATTGAAAATAATACAAATGTGGCTTCTGTTCCTAATTTATTTGTTATAATTCTATTGTCTTACATGGGACCCTGTTTAAAGATTCAAAATAGGAAAACTAAATCCACAAAGAAAAACTGAACACACGGATTGCTTTTGTACTCACAGTTCTCCAAGGTCATAAGAAGAAATACTTACATAAAGTTTCTGAGCCACTGCCATGTGTATACATGATATTTTTATTTATTCTCTGAATAGCACGAACTGCTTCACTTGCCACTAGAGACTGGAAGCAATAGGACATGGACTTTCAATTAATATGCAGCTTTGAAACAAGACAGGTAGATGTTTCTAAAATGTACACTTGTGCATTAACTGAATCAAGGTGTATATGTAAAAAAACGGAATTCATCCAAAATGAAAATTAATAAGAAGAATAAATTAGCTAAAAATTGTATTTTACTTTATGGCAATTGCAGTTGGGTGCTTTTAAATGTCAACTCTTCAAAGGCATTGAAATTGTTATTTAATTTGCAGAAAAAATAAATCTCACATGACTTTTCCAGAATGAATTTATTATGGAAAATGAATACAATTATATTTCAAAGACTCAGAGTTACTCCATTCCTAGACAAAATTACCACCAAACTTTAAATCCAGTTCTCTAAACACATGCATATGTGTAATGCATGCATGATTCACTTCTCATCCTTCTCACAAACTCTATTTTCTTCTTGTGTAAAATGGCTAATGACTTCCACGGACTCATTAAATAAAAAAGAGTATGTCCTTGGCATGAACTACGTTTGGTTCTAGCTTACAAAGATCTTTTCTGGCTGGGTGCAGTGCTTCACGCCTGTAATCCCACCACTTGGGAGGCTGAGGAGTGAGGATTGTTTAGGTCCAGAATGAAACCAGTATGGGCAATGTAGTGAGACCTCATCTCTAAAAACAAACACAAATAAGATAAAAAAGAGATTTCTCCTGAAGCTCTCATTTACCCAGAATTTTTCTGAAATTGGAACTAGCATCATGGCATTCACCATTACCTTTTTGAAAAACCCAGAGGAATAACAGTGGATATTATGTTATATAATTCCTTTGTTCAAAAAATAAATTTGGCCAGGCATGGTGGCTCATGCCTGTAATCCCAGCATTTTAAGTGGCCAAGGCAGGAGGATTGTTTGAGCCCAGGAGATCAAGATCAGCCTAGGCAACATAATGAGATCGTGTCTCTACAAAAATAAAAAAATAAAAAATTAGTACATGGTAGTGTACACCTGTAGTCCCAGCTACCTGGGAAGCAGAGGCTGAAGGATTGCTTGAACCCAGGAGGTCAAGGCTGCAGTGAGCCCTGAAAGTGCCACAGCACTCCAACCTGGACAACAGAGTGAGACACACACACACACACACACACACACACACACACACACACACACACACGCACACACACACACACACACACACGAATGGAGCTTCATTGTCTATGTTATAAAACAAAAATTCATTCTGACATTCAAACCCCTTCACAAGACAACCTCATCTACTTCCTATTGGGGTTTTCCTCCATTTACATATCCTCGCAGTTCCCTGAACACCCTTCCTGCAGGGAATGCCATCTCTTCTGCTTGGCAGATCCTCCTTTCCCTGTTTGCCTATAGAAACCCTCTTTCAATTTCTGGCTGAAATCGTACCTGTTCCTTGACATCAACAGCACTGTACTATTCTTGTTCCTTTACAGTATGTTATCTTCAGTAGATTGCAAATTCCTTAAGAATAGGAACTAGTTATCAACTCCTTCATTCTTTGCATTTCCCTTTCTGAGAATATACCTGGAGGAACTCAAATCACTCTATGAAAAAGATACCTGCACACAGGTGTTTATTGCAGCATTATTCACAATAGCAAAAACATGGAACCAACCATGCTACCCATCAAAAGAGAACTGAATTTTAAAAATGTGGTGCATATACATGATGGAATATTATGCAGCCATAAAGAAGGACAAAATTATAAACTTCGCAGCAACTTGGATGGACTTAGAGTCTATAATACTCAGTGATCTATCACAGAAACAAAGAACTGTGTACCACATGTTCTCACTCATAAGTAGACCTTGAATAATTATAATACTAAAAGAAAGGGATTGGCAGTAGTGGGAAACTGCCAGGGGAGGAGGGGGGCACACCTCATCAACAAGAGTAACTGCATAATGACCATCTGTATACCTAACCCTGAATAATTGTACCCCACACATAAGAAGAAAGAAAAATGAACAGGACCTAGTTTATCTCCTTACTTATCTCAGCATTATCCTTTGAATAAATTAATGAGCCTACTTGTTACTCCAGTCAAAAGTGAGTTCTACCTCCTATGCCACTTATTTAGTAGTTACTATGCATCACATTAGAATTATTTGCAACATTTGCTAATAGTTGAACTCCCTAATCATGTTTTAGTCTCTTAAAGGGCAAGGTCTTACCCAAGGCTCCTTTGAATGTCTATTGAACATGGTATTTTACAAATAATAACTCTCAACATACTTGTGCTGACAGTAATTTTAAAAGGGCACATTTAGACTAATTCTACTTTCCAAATCATGATAAATATTCTTTCATTTCTTCAAAGATAATATCAAAACAGGAGAGTTCCTGAAAAGTTTTCCCTCCCTTGAGAATAAAAAAGAAATGTATCAAGTATATTTATATACTAAATGGGCTGTTTTCATTCAAATGCAAATAATCTTATTCATCAACAATTGCTAACTCCTCTAATAGGACTATATTTTATTCTATTAAGAGAGCCTGAAAAAATGAGTCAGTGAGAAACAAGCTACTACAACAAAATTAGTCTCTTCCCAAGAATAGGCTGTTGCCATGACATTTCCATTGTCTGGAAAGCATCTGGGATGAGGATTTGACCAAGCCTAGCTACAATTCATCAAGAACCCTGGATCTTTTGCCACTGACCCAAACATAGAGCACCTGGGACTAAAAAGGGGTGAGGGCGTAGCAGACGGCATGAGTCCTCTTTGAACTTCCTGTATCCTCCATGACATTCCAAAAGTCAGACTCTTACCTCAGTGCTGAAATTGGAGGTGGTATAATAGGGCTAAACCTCTGGGAGTTAGAGAAGTCAGAGCATAAATAATTCCTGCTGCTAATACCAAAATGATGAGTGTCATGTTGAGACATTATAGAAAGCTAGGGACCACAAAACAGTCCCACGATTACATAGACTCTAGACCTTGCTCATATAACTTCATATGCAAGTCAGATCAGATGAATTAGTTCTCTCCTAACCTTCAAGGAATATGTCTGATGCTTTTTTAGAGAGCCCATTTGCTGGAATGAAGTTCATGTCCTCAGGGTAAGGCATGTTTTTTACATTCCCTTAGTGAACGCTGACCCAGGATGGCTCTTAATAGATATAGTCTATGATGAAAAAACATCTACCCATTTGTCCTCTAGAGGAGAAAATTTTTCCCAGTTTTTGATTCTTCAACTAAGTGTTACTTTATTTCTGAAATGGTAGTGAGAAAAATAATTAAGTCACTCTTACCAGTTCCTCGTGGTCTTTGCTTTTGCTTCTGTTATAGGAATATGGAAACAGTATCTGCTGGGAATATGAATGCATGCTGATATAAGCTTTAATGTGATCAATATTTCTTCTCAAGAAATTAGCTACTGCCTTCACTTCTGGTTCTGACTCGGGATAAAGGCCACAGTAGGTTTCTGAGCATGAAGAACTGGATGCACCTTCCTCTGTAGTGAAATTGATAAAATCAATTATGAGAGGATGTACACATGATTGTAATTTGTGATTTCCCTGACAATGTCTTCTTCTAATATCTGTGGCGCAACATTTTTTAGATAAGTGGATTAGGTAGGACTCTGTGAAGAACATTTCTGGTGTCCATTAAATGTTTTTTACATTTCTTCAGAAGTCACACACTTATTTGCTCACATAGCCGACTCTAATAGTCATTCCCAGACCCTGTTTCCCTTACTACCCAGGGGCAGGCATCTTGCAACCTTAAGAAAGTGGCTGAGAGTCTCAGAAATGCCAGCCTTGCCTCCAAACTTCTGGTTATGTTAGGAAAAAATAAAACTCATTTTCCTTAATCCAATGTAAATTTAACTTTTCTGATATTTGTAATTTGAAAACTACTCATTAGGCCAGGCTCGGTAGCTCATACCTGTGATCCCAGCACTTTGAGATGCCAGAGGACTGCTTGAGCCCAGGAGTTTGAGATCAGCCTAGGCAACATAGTGAGAACTCATCTCCACAAACAATTAGCTGGGTGTGCTGGTGCATGCCTATAATCTCAGCTACTTGGGATGCTGAGGTGGGAGGATTGCCTGAGCCCAGGAGGTCAAGACTGTGGTGTGCTAAGATGATGCCACTGCACTCCAGTCTGAGCAACAGAGTGAGAAACCAACTCAATAAAATAAAATAAGCATGAAAGTAAAAACTATTCATCAATATAGGCCATAAAATAAAAGCCTCACTTGGGAGCTCAGAAAATGCAAGTCTGCCTTCAGTACTACTTTTAACTTGCTAAAGTGGTTTAGTAAGTAAAATAAGATGATATTTGTTACCAGAATAATGGTTATTCATTCCTTTGAGAGATTACAGTTTGCATCATTCAGGCGGTAGCCTGCCTCTGTCTAATTCACATCTCCCTGTGTCTAATTCACAGGGCTGGAGCCCCAGGGAGCCACATCTGATCCAAGAGATCATGCCCTCCTGGAAACAGTCAAGGGCCCACAATTGAGTCTGGCACTTGTTTTCTGCCAATCTGGCACTTGTTTTCTGCCAATCCTCCAATGATAACTTGAAATTAGACTAAGATTCTAGTCTCAATTTAGCTGCTGTCTTGAACAAAAGCAATAACAATAGTAATTCTGCCAACTGATACCCACAGAGCACATGCTGTATGTCAGGAACTCTGTTAAGATATACACCATATCTCATTTAATCCTTACAGAAATCCTATGAAGAAAATACTGTTATTTAGGAGATGCAATTTGGACACATTTAGTGGTAACCATTCTTCACAGTAAAAAGTTACATAGCATATTGTTAAGCACCCAGTCACCTGATTCTAATCTTGGCTTTGCCTGGTAAAGTTTTTAAAAACCTATCTATGTCTCAATTTCCTTATCTGCAAAATGGAAAAATTATACATTAAATGTAGATTCAATGAGGACTGAAAGAGCTAGTGCACACAAAGTGCTTTTGCACAGTGACTGGCATATAGTATGTGTGTCATAACGCTTGCTGTTGATCACCATCAGCATGATCATCATCCTCATGGGATTAGGACCTGAAGAAAGTCAACGTGCATTGCAGAGCGAGATGAGGAGAGGAGGTGTTCATGAGGAGAGGAGGACTTCATCCCTGGAGTGCTACAGGCCCAATTCCTGTCTGTTTCTGAGTCTAGCTGTGTCCCTGCCCTAGGGTTCCCTGGGTTGATCACTAGCTTTACAGAGCCTGCCTTTATTTAAGATCATTCTGCTTTCTTCTTGATATTATTTACAAAAACAAAACAAACAAACAAACAAAAATTTCATGCTTGCAAACATTTGTTTCCCAAGGAGGAAATGTGCTGAATAAAAGTTCTTTCAAGTATTTCATTTGTTTTTATTTTCAATAAAAAATGTGATTGGACAAACCATATTTGGTAGTCTAGTCTCCTTTAAATTTTCCTGTGCTTTTCTTTCCAGGTGTATAGTTCTAGAGAATGGAGAACATACAGGGGGTGCCAAAAAAAGTATACATATTTTAAGAGGTGTTATCTATACAGTACTTTTTGAAGTTGAACTAAATTGTGGTAGTAATGTGTACTATGACATGTGCTCAACTGTGCTTGCTCCAATTTCTTTGACTGTCCTACCAGTCGCATGGTGATGCTAGCATTCATTTGATTAATCCCATCTTTTGAGCAAATGTCATCCTTAAAAATGTGTATATATATTGTGGCACCCCTGTCTATTGGGATGGAGGACATGAAAGTTAGAGAGGTGGTACCCTGCTGCGAATCCTCAGATAGGGGATGTAGTGTAGTCGCATAGAAATGTAGTGTAAGTCACATTCTTACTTTAAATTTTTAAGTAATCTCTTTAAGAGACGTAAAAAAGAAATAGGTGAGGTTAATCCAATATTATAATTTTTGGTTATATAATTATTATACTTATAATTAGCCCAATATGCACAAAGTATCATTTTGAATGTAATCAATATAGAAATCATTCATGAAATTTATTTATTTTAGTCAGTCTCACTCTGTCGCCCAGGCTGGAGTGCAGTGTCACTGTCACAGCTGCTGCAACCTCGACCTGCTGGGCTCAGGTGATCCTTCCACCTCAGCCTTCCAAGTAGCTGGAACTACAGGCACATACCAACACATCCAGCAAATTTTTGGATTTGTTATAGAGACGAGGTCTTGCCAAGTTGCCCAGGCTGATCTTGAACCACTGGGCTCAAGCAATCCGCTTGCCTTCACCTCCCAAAGTGCTGGGATTGCAAGCATGAACCACTGCACCTGGTGCTATTTTTTAGGTTCCTTTTTTCATACTAAGTCTTCAAATTCTGGTGTGTACTTTACACTCAGTGCGTGTCTCAATCCAGACAAACTATACTTTGAGTGCTCCATAGCCACATGTGTGTAGTGGCTACTGTGCTGACCAGGGAACCACAGATTCTCGTTCTGTGACTGTCATTCTAGAGATTTCAAGCTACTTTCGTGGAAAGAGCCCTAAAGAGACAGGAAACTTGGGGTTGAGACTCTGCTTTGCCATTAAGCAGCCATGTAAATTTAGACAAGTTACTTCATCTGAGTCTCAGGGGCCCCATCTGTACCTTGGGGCACTTGGGCTACTAAGTTCCTCCAAGTTCAAGCATCCTTTGATCTGTAAACATGGAATCAAGAACACTATGAAATATCTTTAATAGACAAATTCATAGAGACAGTAAGAAGATTGTGAATTATCGAGGGCTGGAGAGGGTGCGGATGGGAGATATTGCATAATGGTTTAGAGTTTGGGGAATAATAAAAGAGTTTTGGGAATAAATAGAGTGATGGTTGTACAACATTGTGAATGTACTTAATGCCATTGATTTGTACAATTAAAAATGTTTAAAATGGCACATTTTATTTTATACATTTTTTATCACAATAAAAATAATTTTTAGCCGGGCTCGGTGGCTCAACCTATAATCCCGCGCCTTTGGGAGGCTGAGGTGAGTGGATTGCCTGAGCCCGCGGGTTCGAGACCTGCCTGGGCAGCGAGACCTCATCTCTACAATAAATCAAAAAATCAGCTGGGCGTGGTAGCGCGCGCCTGTAATTCCGGCTACTTGGAAGGCTGAGGCGGAAGGATCGCCAGAGCCCAGCAGGTCGAGGCTGCGGCGGCCAGGAGCGGCCACTGCACTCCAGTCTGGGCGACAGAGTGAGACTCCAAGTCAAAAAAAAAAAAAAAATTTTTTAAACATTACAGTCTCATGGGAAAAGAAATAAAAGATTTGTCATTGCATGCCAGTGGTAAAACCTTTGTAGTTGAGCTCCGTATTTTAGAAAATGAGTGGCACTGTCAGAGGAAGTTTATGGACTAAATTGTGTTCTCCCCAAATGTATATACTGAAGCCCTCAATGTGACTGTATTTAGAGATAGGACCTTTAAAGAGATAAGGTTAAATGAAGTCATAACCATAGGTTTTTAATCCAATATGACTGGTGCCCTTATAGGAACGCAGAGACACAAGGAGGTAAATGCACAAAGAAAAGACCACATGAGAGCACAGAAGGAAGGCAGCCATCTGCACCTCAATAAGAGAGATCTTAGGAGGAGCCCACTCTGCTAGTACTTTGATTTGGACTTCCAGCCTCCAGAACTGTGAGAAAATATATCTCTGTTGTTTATTTACCCTAGCCTATGGTATTTTGTTATAGCAGCCCAAGGAGACTAAGATACTTCTACAAGCTAACCCCCTATTCTCATCACGTGCACACACACACACAATTTTTAATACAGAGGAAGGGTAAAATGAACATAAAAATGGGTAAGCAGGCTTGATATGTCACTTCCTGTTGATCAGTGAGGTGTTTTTTAGATACTTTTAAAAAAGGGTCAGAAAGTCACATTCTAGTTGTAGGAACAAGAAAGAACAAAGATTTAATTCTTCTTTTTATCTGTCTTGCTTACATAGTACTGAAGAGATGTCGTGGTACTTGGCAGAAAATGTGTTCCATATAGTTACTTCTTGTTTTATTTGAGATTCTGTTGCCTAAATGCTACCTGTTTCTATTTCTGTTTTTTACTCTTGAAATATATAGCACAATGCCTAAGAAGGAACTGAGATTGGTGACAATACAAAATATATTTTGATTACTTGGCTATCCAAATTAGATAACACTGACTTCACCAAGAAAAATATTAAGTAAAATTGAGCACCAAAAGAGCTTGAAGATAAAATAAAATTCTTCTATCTCTGATAATCACAATAAAGTTCTCTTTTGGAACTTTGTACCTATAGAGTGATTGTCAAACACAGAAAAATTCCAACAAATTTGGAGTCAGTGAACCTGGGTTTATATCCCAGCTCTGTCACTTACTATGTGCCCTTGAGGAAGAAACTTAACCTTTTAAAGGGTTTCTCCATCTATGCTATGTAGCAAATGATATCTAGAAGGTGAACTATGTAAACACAGAGTGACTATATGTTCTGTTTATTCAGAACATTTGTATGTTAGTTGCTGCTTCTCTGAGTCCTCAGCCAGTTACCAGAACTACAGCAGTCTGTGAACCTTGGGAAGGGGCTTTATGACACAATCTTAAGGACTCTTAGGGAGAAACCACTAAGTGATTCCCTGGAGTCTGAATCAGAGCAACCGCTCCTTCTTCTGTGTTCCTACTGCATCTGTAGCTCTTAGAGCAATGACATTCATTCACGAACTCATTTAATTAATATTTTATGAGAACTCTGCATGTGCTAGGTAATGGGTCCTGCCCCAGTGGAGTTTCTAACCTAGAGGGGGAAGGAAATAAAAAAATAAGGTAAGAACTTTGTTGTGAGATTTTAATATGTATTCTGGGATATTGATGAAAGTTAAAAAATCATTAATTTTTACTTTTTTAAAAGTAAATGTGTACATATCCATAGGATTGTGTAGGGCAAAGGTCTGGGAAGAAAAGGATATGTCTAGGGTACAATAGCCTCTGTCACTTATAGACCCAACGGAATCACATGTCCACTTCCAAAAAATATAGATGATGCATGCTCTTTGTTGTGTTTTGTAGTTGTTTCTTAAATGCAGTACCGTATGATATAATGGTTGGGGAGTAGGAAGAAAGGGTGAACTAACCCCTACCTCCCTGAGAGCAAACTGTTCTTGAATGCCTAAATCAACATCACTGAGTGCCTTAACTCATTCAAATTAAGGAATGACAAATTGCCACCATGCTAATCTTTATATTATTTTTAATATTTTCTTTATACTATTCATGAAAGGAAACACTTCAGAAAGTGAATAGTGAAAAAGAAAATAAAATGTTTTCAAACAATATAGAAGTAAGCATTTACCAATGCAATTAAAAATAAGGGCCTTCTCATCCCAGAACTTTGTTACCCTAATGATAAATATTATTTGTTTATTAAAGTAGGATCTTTAACCATCACTTCCTTGTTATGCTAAGATAATAGAATTTTGAAGCTAGACGGTACCTTAAGGAACTGATCTAACATCTTTATTTTAAAGATAAGGAAATAATAGAGAGGAGAGGTTAAAGTGATTTGCTGACTCTAGCCAACATTCATAGCATTACATTTACCTAAAATGCTTATTATTTAAATTAGTCCCTGATTCAAATGGGTCTCCTTTGTAATTAATTTGAATTCATGGACCTTCCTCTATGAACCTCACCCTTTTAATGAAAAGACATTGCAAGAAATAAAGCAAACAACCTACCACACCAGTGTTTCGAAGCAAAGTTCCTATTCAGGTCTGTTCCAATGCAATAATTGTTTGCATGGAGAGAACGATTTTTTCTCCACATTCGATCCTACATAAACAAAACACAAATAGATAACCAGGGTGGCCATGTTTGGGATTCAAGGAAAGACAGAACTTTGAAAGACCAAGCTGCAGGGGTTGTATTTCCTTCCTTTAATCTGATACCTTGCATTCCATCACTGTCTTCATAGTATTCCTTTTGCACAGACCCATTTCTACCCAGGTTTCAATCATGTGCATTCAAACTATTTTAGTTTGCATCAAATAAAATGGTAATATTTGAGCACTTTTGACCTCTACAAATAAAAATTATATTTGGTTCCATAATGCTGCTTGTTGGCCTTTTTGTTTAGTCTTGTTTCCTTTACATTAATTTTATATATAGGACCATTTTGAGTTCCTTAGAAGAAAAGCAAAATAACTTTGCATCTCAACTCAACACTATGAATCATGAGTTTCGATGCCGTCTTTAGATTGAGTTCAACACTCTCGTTTCAAAGCTAGAGGAGATGGAGAGATGAAGACACCTCTAGCCTGATAGCTCCTTCGATTGTACTGATTTGCCTCTGGTTTTAAAATATAAAACAAGTTTCCCATTAGGCTCTTGGGGTAAATGGGAACGTTTGATCATGTAAACAGTTATCAAGACTTCATGTATGTTCTAAGGTTGGGATGACGTGGCACCCACCCTTTTCTGCTACACTCACCAACCCTCTGCCAAGTCTCCCTATCTACTCCTATCCTCTATGGTTTGCAGCAAGAATAGCCCTGAGGAAATCAAGTTCTCAGACTGCAGAAACTAATTGGTAGAGTAACCATACAAAGGACACTTGGGAAGTTGGAACATCTAAAGAGTGACAATTCCATGTGATTCAGATTAAGGCATACATTGACTATAATATCAATTTACAGATGTGACCATTTACTGAATACCAAATTTGTGTTAGCATTGTAATAGATAATTCTCATTTCCTTAGTTTGGCATTTGTGTACCCTCACCTAGAAACTTTTTAGTCACAGTGTTCCTCTCACCCGAGTTTTTAAATGTCTTCTTCACCATTTCTATCTCTTCTGCATAAACAGTGCTACTCAAATCAGTTTTTCTAAACTTCTTTATGCTCTGTTATGTTTTTATGTGCCACTCATCAAATTAGAAAGGACTGTACTTCATAGTGCTTGAGTAATTTTACACAGATCATGATGTTGATGAAGTAGAAAATACAGAAGTGGGAATATGCTAAACTACAATATGGCAATGCAATTAGCAAATTGTGATAATGGGAAGTTCTTTTCTTTGACAAACATAATGTAAGGAAAAAGAAAAGAGAGAACCAGCAAGAGACGGAGGAGGAGTCTACAAATTAAAATAGAATTAAAAGACATATAAACTAATCACAGTTTAAAAGTCTTATTTGGATCCTGAATCAAAAACGCATTCATTTAAAAAAGTTATGAAACGATTAGAAATGTGAATACTGACTGAATATTTTATGATATTCAGCAATTGTTAATTTTTAGGTATAACTGTACTTTAGTTACTTTTTAATCCCTTTTTTAAGAGACGCATGCTGAAACATTTATTGATGAAATAAAATGGTGCCTGGGATTTACTTCAAAATAATATGAGTAAGGTAGAAGTAATATAGATAAAACAAGATTGGCCTTGAGTTAATTATCACTGAAGTTCCCTGATGGGTATACAGAATTTTACTACACAATCATGTCTATTTTTATCTATATTTGAAATTTTCCATAATAAAAGTTAAAAAAACTTGTAATAAAATAATTGTGCCAAGACCCAGAATTTTATGAATAATCCAATCTGTATATCATATGTTCCCAAAGGGAACATGTTTTGTTTTCTTTGCCTTTTCACCTACCTTTTTCCACGTATAGTCGTATCCATCCACATTAACCACCGGCATAACATAGAAATCTACATGATTCAGAAGAGTGGTATAGTCCTCTATTTTCCCATAGTATTGAGTTACCTACAAATTAAACCAGGAATCTTTAATTACAACTCTAAATTTAGTCTGATTTTTCTTAAGTCATTTGGTAGATTTAACTTCCAGAAAGAGTATTGATTCCTCAAAAGGACTGGACTTAGGATACTCTGCTGCCAACTGGTGACCAACGTCTTGCACATTGCACAGCACTACTATTTAATGAAGGCAGAAAATAGAACCATAAACTTTCTAAACTTTCTTTCAAACACAAAAATAATTCATTGCAGTCATAAAGCCTACTACAGAGATTTAAGGAAACAAAAACCTAGATTTAGCTTCACTCCTTTGCCCGTAATTCATGTTAATTAGAGCTTAAACTAAACTTGCCTTATCCCCAGACATGATTAGATTTTATTTTTGACATTGTCCTTAGAACTTGTGGAGCTCAAGTTTTGCTAGAATTGAGCGTGTTTCCCAAACATGTGGTCATCTGGCTTTAAGATAAGGGGTAGTTTTTCCTATAGGTACTGGTTATGAGTTCAACAAATTAGACACCATCTGAAACTTGTTTCTCTCCATTTTCGAGTCATACCCAGCTTAGGGGCATATATTTCAACATGATCCAATGGCATTAAAATTCTGATGACTGAGATCTCACCCCAAAATGATCAAATACACAGCCAGGAGAGCCACAGAGACAAATTTTAGCTGGTTAAATCATTTCATCCAAGACTAAGTTTTGGTTTAAAAACTTCATTTGTGACAACACCATTAAATTTTTTTTTTTTTTGAGTTGGAGTCTCACTCTGTAACTCAGACTGGAGTGCAGTAGCATGCTCCCCGCCACCGCAGCCTCTACCTGCTGGGCTCTGGCAATCCTTCTGCCTCAGCCTTCCAAGTAGCTGGAACTACAGGTGCACGCTACCACACCTGGCTAATTTTTTGATTTATTGTAGAGATGAGGGCTCGCCAAGTTGCCCAGGCAAGTATCGAACCTGCAGGCTCAGGCAATCCACTCACCTTGGCCTCCCAAAGCATGGGATTACATGCTGAGCCACTGAGCCCGGCTACCATTACATTTTAATTTAATTAAAATAAGCGTTTAATTTTGTTTATAATTGTTGTCTTAAATTTTACTCAGAAGATATTGCTAAGAAGATTTTTTATTGTGATTGACAAAAGAAAAGTAAGTCTGCTAAATCCTACCTGAACTATAGCAAAAACTTTACTGTTTTTCCCTTTCATTTAAAAAATATTATATCCATATTTCTCTAGAACAATAACAAGAATCATATTGAAATTCTTTGCCATGAATAAACACTTATGAAATCTGAGAGAAAGGTAAAAAATGCAAGTTTGTTTTAATATACTATAGTTTAGAAATTAAAGCTTAATGAACAGGAAGAAAATGTTTAGAATGAAAGAAGCCATCTTTTATATAATTGAGTGACCAATTAAATACATTTTTTTGTGCTCAAATTTGTAAACTTATGTTGGCATAATTTTTCAGTAATAATGTAGCATTCATTATTAGAAAAAATATCAGGAGATATTAGGACTTTCAAAATAATAAAGCATTCAGCATTTTCATTTCTACAATGTTGGCCAAATTTTTAGTAGATATGGCATGGTGGGTTTCTTTTTTTCCTCCACTTCTAAAATTTTCATCCTACATTTATCTCTGACTGGATGAAAGTCTCTCTTCAAAAAGTTAGGCTCTGAGAAATAGTCAATGTTAGCCCAGAATTTCTTTATCTAATAGGTAAGACTCCAGAATGAAGAAGTGAGTGACGGTTGTGATACAGTCTGTGCTCTGCCCCGTCTTTGTGTGTGGATGCGTCCTCAATCCCAGAGAAAAGGGTGTCTATCTTTTCTTTAACAGTTTTATTGAGATATAATGTACATATCAAAAAAGTCACCGTTTTTAAGTGTGAAATTCCATGGTTTTTGGCATATTCACATAGTTGTATAACCATGTGATTTCAGAATATTTCATCACAAAAAAAAAAACCCATGTGCATTAGAAGTCACTCCTCTTCCCCCACTACACTTCTCCAAGCCTCTGACAATCACTAATCAATTTTCTGTCTTTGTGGATTTGCCCATTCTGGACATTTCATATAAATGGAATCATAAAATATGTAGCTTTCTGTGTTTGGCTTCTTTCACTTAGCATAGTATTTTCAAGATTCATCTATTTTGTAGCATGAATCAATACTTCATTCCTTTTCATTGCTGAATGATATTCCATTGCATGGATATATCACATTCTGTTTTTCCACTCATATATTGATGGGCATTTGGGTTATTTTCAGTTTTTGATTATTATGAATAATTTGCTATGATTATTTGTAAACATGTGTTCAATTATCTTGGGCATATACCTAGAAGTGGAATTGCTGAGTCATATGGTAACACTATGCTTAATCTTTTGAGGAGCTTCCAAACTGATTTTTTAAATGGCAGAAGGAATTATGTATGGCACACAAAAGACAAAAAAACCTTTTTTTCAAGTCTGATTTACCAACATGACAAGTAACATAATCTAAATCACTGTCTTACTTCATATGGTCACCAACATACAATGGTTTGACTTATGACTTTTTTGACTTCACAATAGTATAAAAGCAATATGCATTTGGTAGAAATCATACTTCAAGTACCAATATGATCATTCTGTTTTTCACTTTTACTACGGTATTCAATCAATTATATAGGGTATTCAATAATTTATTATAAAACAGGCTTTATGTTAGGAGATTTTGCCCAAATGTAGGCTAATGTAAGTGTTCTGAGTACATTCAAGGAAGGATAGGCTAAGTCATGACATTTGGTAGGTGAGATGTAAGTGCATTTCAACTGACAATATTTTCAATTTGCAATGGGTTTATGAGGACATAGCCCCATCATAAGCGGGGGATCATCTATATAAAAGAAAAGGAAGAAAGATGAGAATAAAGGGCAAAGGAGGAAGGTGAAGGAGGATGACAGGGTGAGTTGATTCCTATCAGCAGGGCCTGAGGCCAATAATTATTCAACTCTTCCTCTCTCTTTGCCTGGAGTATGCTACAGCTTTGCCTTTACTGTAGTCCTAAATAACAACAACAATTTCTACTTAGAAACTAACCAATAATCATTTGATAGAGAATAAATTAGTTAATAAAGGCATATAAGACATTATGAAGGGAAGAGTTTTAAAATACAACATCCTTTTCATTACCATTAGAAATATAGCAATGAGCTGAAGTCCTGGTTTTTACTCCAATCTCTATGTGTATGTATAATTCAGACTTTAATCCAATGGCAATAAAGTATTTAGCTCAACAGTAGGTACTGTTTAGGTGCTTTCTGGACCCCAGAGTTGTATTTCAGCCTAAACCTATGGTATTCATTTAAGTTTCAAATTTCACAAGGGGATACTGAGTACCAATCACATGAACCAAATTATATGGAAAACAAGAAATTATTTTACAGGTGATATCTGCCCTCAAAGAGCTAATAGAAACGGTAAGTTGGAAAGGAAAGAGCAGCAATTCAATGTTATAAGTATGATAATAAATGATAGTAGGACATACAAGGTGGTTCAGAGAAAGATGGTTGATTCTGTGTGGGGCTTAGGGTTGAAACTCCTGAGGGATAGGTCAAGGGGGCAAGAAATTGGGAGTTCAGGTGAGTTTGTGATGGGACCCAATCTAGTTAGTGAAGAAAGAAACTCCTGCAAAGGAACTGATAAATTAAGAAGAAGTAGATCTTATCAGGGTCTGGAAATCTACTAAAGTTGGAAAAAAAGAAAGGCAGGCATAGTACTTGTGAGGAATGAGAGAAATGGAAGGAGAGGAAATTAAGAAGTCAGTTTGGTATGTGGCTCTTCTATTTTTCATTCTTGCCGTCTATGGCCATATTCTGGACCTAAGGGTTAGCAAAAGCATTATTTCTGAGATCCAGAGGATAGCCATAGGAGAAACTTGCTAAAATGGAGTTGAAGAGAGGTTTAGAAGAGCAGAGATCAAGGAACTGTGAAGATGTATTTTTAGGTTACTCTTGCATATGGACTTTGAATTCACTCAGAATGATTGCAAGAGCTAGAGGGGTGTAAAGAGTCAAGAACCAGGTATCAGGAAATTATCCAAAGATCAATATATGGCAACAATTAAAAAAAAAAAAGGTAAGATTACAACCAGATTATCTGTTTAGAGGAGAGGGTCATCATTGGTCGTTTCAGGACTGGAGTCACTCCTCTTGGCTTCTCAGCATGTGATGATGTGAAAGAAAGGGCAGCCTCTCTACTTGGTGGAGCAGCCATTAAGCAGTGTCCTTAAGTCACGTGTCAGCTATGGTGAGGAGGGGCATAGAGGACTCTGTGAAGGCTCTGAGGTTGTAGAGTTTCAGTTTTGTGTGCATACAGACGAGAGTTCTCTAGGGCAGAAGTTCAGAGGGAGGTTATCAGTGGGAAAAGCCAGTTGGCAGAAATAGAATTTGGCAAGTTGTGATGGTTAGTACATATCCACTGGGCTTCTATAATGTGCCAGATCCTGTGCTGAGTTTTGGCTGTGGTGATGCAGTCATAAACAAGTCAATCTCAGCCATGGCCTTTGTAGAAATAGAAGGGATCTAAATTTGGCCTCCTACTAACACAAGAATGAGAGGCATAGAAAGAAATGACTGGTCTCAAGTTTCCCAAAGTGTGGTGCATTGGATTTCTCCTAACTGAGACTAGACTATAAGATTTTTGAAATTCTTATTAGGTGTCAAAAAGAGTGAGAGACTTAAAAGCTAAGATTGTAATTTGCCTTTTTGGTTTTTTTAAAAAATATAAAACTAACCTACATTATTTTTTAAGTTATATGTTTTATTTTACGGTTCCTTCTACAGTGGTTTGAATCATTATGAGAAGCAGATGATTTGGATTACTTTTAGGCCGACAAGAATGAATTTTCTTAAATGCCCATTAAAAGGAGTTTATCGATTATGTTGATTTGGCTATACAAATCTGGTTCACATTGTTGGAGCAAAATACTCAACCATATAATCCTCAAACTGTGTCTTTTTCTCCATTGTTTCCAGAGTTTTGAACCTCATAGACAATTTATAAGTATTTGTGGAATAAGTCATTTACTCTTACAAAGATTCAGCTAGTGGGTGGGGTAGAGAGTAGGATGTGTAATAGGAAGGAAGAGGTGTCACATTGAGAAGGGCAGTAATTAGGGACAACTTCACCAATACAAAGTCAATATGAATTGGAGTTTCTTTCAGGCCCTTTTCAGGTTCAGTGAAGGAACAAAAAATAAATGTTCTTTTTCTCCCACTTTGTACATTTCTCTCGCCACTAACTGCTACTCCTTTCATTATCTAAACAGAATCCAATTACCGAATGTGGGGAAGGTTCCAGATCATGACATGACTGAGATGTGTTAAGGGTCTAGTCAGTTGGACCCATCTTTATTTGGTCAAGGTAGTACCAATAGTGGGTGGGAATTTTTCAATAGACTCAGGGAGGCTGCAGCTCCCATTAGTGGGGAAGAGAAGATGGCAAGACAAATGAAAATAAGTAGGGATGATGCGTTTGCCAAGACCCAGCAAAGACAGAAACAGTTTTACCTTGATGTGCTTCATTTAGTAAGAAAGATCTAAGTGACAAACTCTTAATTTCCTAACTCACCTATTTTGTGTAATGTGTATCTGTTAATATAAAGACTACAATAACCATTATCACAAGGACACATTTTGAGTTATTTTTCCAGTGACAATGGCTCTTTGTATAACCTGGTGCAGAGAATATATATGATAATTTTATAGGATTTGAAGTGCCATTTTTACTGTTTTCATTTATTGGGGAGGTTAATAGTCATTATATAAATATTTCTTACTTTTCTGACATAGTATTTGTCTTATATATGCTTTTTTGGATGCAAAACACTTCTTCAGGGACAAAATTCCCTATGATAACATATAGAAAAACATGATCTGCTCTGTAATGTTGTGCTTCATGCCCAATTTCCAAGGGTAGACTGTGGCAAAAGATGTCTATATAATTAAAAGCAAAAGAGATGGAAATTAATTTGGACCCAACTTACATAACTCCTTCAGTTCTTTCTTCTACTTAGTAAGCATATTACAATCAGTGTACTACTTCTTATTTTCCAAAGTTTAGCCCCAGACAGAAATGTAGAAAAGGAAACAATCATCAATATTTAAGGGAATTTAAATGCCTAAAGTCATGTTCTCAAGCTTAATATGCATAAAAGTCACCTGGAAAACTTGTGAAAATTGTAGATTCCCAAGCTTCACCTCTAAAGATTTCAGCCTTGACCTGCTGGGCTCAGGCGATCTTTCTACCTCAGTCTTCCAAGTGGCAGGAACTATATACACATGCCACCACATCCGTTTAGGTTTTGGGTTTTATTTGTAGAGATGAGGTCTCACCAAGTTGCCTAGGCTGGTCTGGAGCCCCCAGGCCCAGGCAATCCTCTTGCCTCAGTCTCCCAAAGTGTTGGGATTACAGACTAAGCCACCACACCTGGCTGGACAATGCATTTTAATGAACAGCATACTCGATTCTGATACAGGTGATCTTGGGCTCCATACTGAGACACAGTGACTTACAAGACTATAAATACTTACATAGCCTATGAACCACAAGCAGAAAGCAGGAGAAATCCATTCTCTGGCATGGATTCCACAGTCAATCCATATGGCATTTTTGGCTGTATGTTCTTTTCCAGAAACCTGCTCCAAGAAACCCCCAAAGTAGCAAAAACAATATCAATAGTCTCAGGATAATAACTTTCATTTATATAGTGCTTATATTTAATACTTTCAACGATTCTCTGATATATACATTGTATTTTCCATTCCCTTGAGAATTTTAAAGGGAAATTTAAATACTGGTGAGATTAAGGAACACTAGCTAAGGTCACAAAGCTAGCATGAATCAGGACCGAAGTTTACAGCCAGGAGATCCTTCCTCCCTCCCTTCCTTCCTTCCTTCTTTTATTCCTTTCTTCTTCTTTTTTCTTTAGGCAGGTTCTCATTCTGTTGTCCAGGTTGGAGTATAGTAGTGCAATCACAGTTCACTGCAGCCTTGAACCCAAGTGACCATCCTGTCTCAACCCCCCAGGTAGCTAGGAAGCTTTGGAGATGAGGTCTCACTATGTTGCCTAGTCTGGTCACTACTGGCCTCAAGTGATCCTCCCACCTCAGTCTTCCAAAATACTGGAATTATAGGATTGGGATTCCATACCCAGCCTTAAAGCTCTTTTTATCCTCCCACAGGTATTCAGTAATATCATAACTCTATTTGGAAATTTATAAGTAGAGACCAGAAAACTAATGCTTTAGCTATAGCTTCATGCTTCAGTTAGAGGTAAACAGGTGTGAGTTGAGAATACATAGTAGCTTTTGATGTCTTTAGAAGGATTATCAAGAACATCTTCAGAATTATTCATAATTTATTTGCCTTTAAAAAATTAGCTATAGTACAACTTTAAGGTATAGAGGGAAGGGATAAGAGTATTGTAAAATCAAACAAATATGTAAACTTGCAACTCCAAAACAAGGAAAAGAAAGAGGTAGATATTTAACTTGCCATACCACTTTAGGGTTTTTCTCCTAACTTGGAGTCGGTAATACTCAACAAGAAGGTGAGGAAGTCCATTGGTATTGGCCACAAATGGTCAAATTTCATAGTCAAAGAGAACTGCCTAGCTGATTTAGTCTATTCTGTGTAAAGAAAATCCTAAATTGTCTAGATTAGTTGCCTTACTCAACCTTTCTAACTGCTGAGGTTACTCTCTTGGCACTGGTTTTGACACTAAGAAGATGGCAAAACCCCAGGGAATCGCATTATATGCATATCCTTGGTCAAGTAAGAGTAGGACTAAACTATCCAGAATGCATGACTTTTCAACATGTACATCCAGGTTGCAGACACACATACTACACACAACATGGCTGAAAGCAAATGTCATGGGTAAATATGCCATGATTATATGGATCCAATCTGATAGACAAACTCAAGCATTTGAGTTTGAATGGCAAATTCTTGTCAGAGACAGATTAAAACTGAGAAATCATGAAACAGTCTTATCTTTGGTTGACTGAAGGGGCTCACCTATCACAATTTAGATAAGGTTGGGTACTATATATAAACTATGTGTTACTAAATCAAATGTATTTTTCCAGTGACTACATTTTTTTTGAGAGCTTCTTTTAATTTTTTTAAAGCATAGAATGGTTGAAAAACAAACAAACAAACAAAAAAACAGAACTACAGAATTAGAAACTGTAATAGGCAGAAATTATCATGGTCATGACTCCTAAAATTCTTCCAGTGGCTGTGTTCACTGACCTTTACTAAGGTAAATTTATCCAAGAAAGAAGACATCCAATCCAAAATATGTTAATCAGCATCTCTCCCATAAGATTTTGTAACCAAAAATAAATAACAAAATGGTGGTTGGAGCAGAAGTCATCATATAAGCCCCACTGCAAAGGACCTCAGCATTGCCCTGCTTTTTAGCTCGCCTTGGGCTTGGTTTGTTTAGCACTTGGATTTCAAAAGCTGCACCAGGAAGTCCTAGCCAGGACAATTAGGCAAGAGAGAAAAATAAAGGACATCCAAATTGAGAAGGAAAAAGTCAAATTACCCTTGGTTGCAGATATCATGATCTTGTATTTAGAAAAACCTAAAGATACCACCACAAACATGTTTAGAACTGATAAATAAATTCAGTAAAGTTGCAAAATACAAAATCAACATACAAAAATCAGCAGCATTTTAAACACCAACAGTGAACAATCTGAAGAATCAAGAAAGTAATCCCTTGACACTAGATACAGAAAACCCCCACAACAACCTAGGAATAAATTTAATCGAAGAATTGAAAGATCTACAATGAAGACTATAAAACACTGATGAAAGAAATTGAAGAGGATGCAAAAATATGGAAAGATATTTCATGCTCATGGGTTAGAAGAAATAATATTATTAAAATGTTCATATTACCCTAAGTGCTCTATAGATTCAATGCAATCTCTATCAAAATACCAATAGCACTCTTCACAAAAATAGAAAAAAAAATCTTAAATTTTGTATGGGACCTCAAAAGACTCTGAAGTGCCAAAGCAATCCTGAGAAAAACAACAATGCTGAGGTACAAAACAACATGGTACTGGCAAAAAAAAAAAAAAAAAAAAAAAAAAGAGAGAGAGAGAGAGAGAGAAAGACACATAGACCAATGGAACATAATAGAGAATCCAGAAATAAATTCAAGAATTTACAGCCAACTTATTTTTGACAAAGGCACCAAGAACATACATTGGGAAAAGGACAGTTTCTTCAATAAATGGTGTTGAGAAAACTGAGTATCTATATTCAGAAAAAATAAAACTAGATCTTTACTCTCACCATATACAAAAATCAATTAAATGAATCAAAAACCTAACCAAAACTATAACTGCTAGAAGAAAGAACTGGAAAAACACTTCAGGACACTGGTCTGGGCAAATATTTTTTGGGGTAAGGCCTCAAAAACACAGGCAACAAAAGCAATAACAGACAAATGGGATTGGATAAAACTGAAAAGCTTCTACATAGCAAAGGAAACAATCAAAAGAATGAAGAACCAACTCACAGACTGGGAGAAAATATATGTAACTATCCATACAACAAGGGGTTAATAACCAGAATATATAAGGAACTCAAATAACTCAACAGCAAAAATAAATAAATAATTCTGATTTAAAAAATAGATATAGGATCATAATAGACATTTATCAAAAGAAGGCATACAAATGACCAAAAGGTATATACAAAAATTGCTCACTATCACTAATCATTGGATAAATGCAAATCAAAACCACAGTGAGATATCCTTTCCTCCTAGTTAAAATGGTTATTATGAAAAAACCAAAAAGATAAAAAAGGTTGACAAGGATGCAAAGAAAGTGAAATGCTCATACACTGCTGGTGGGAATGTGAATTAGTATAGCCACTATGGAAAACAGTATGGCGATTTCTCAAAAAACTAAAAATAGAACAACTACATGGTCCAGTAATCCCACTGCTGGGTATATAATGAAAAGAAAGGAAATCAGTATATCAAAGAGATATCTACACTTCTACAGGACTATTCACAGTAGCCAAGACATGGGATCAACCTAAGTTTTCACCAGCAGAAGAATGGATAAAGAAAATATGGTACATATACAAGTGGAATACTATTCAGTCATAAAAAATAAAAATCCTATCATCTGAAGCAATGTGGATGGGAAGAGGACATGATATTAGGTGAAATAAGCAAGGCAAAAAAAGGCAAATACTGCATGTTCCCACTTGTATGTAGGAGCTAAAAAAAATAAATCTCATGGAGGTAGAGAGTAGAAAGATAGTTACCCAAGGCTGGGAAGGGGAGGGAGGAGGAGAGATAAAAATAGGTTGAGTGGATTGCCTGAGTCTGCGGGTTCGAGACCCGCCTGGGTAACTTGGCGAGACCTCATCTCTACAATAAATCAAAACAGCCGGGCGTAGTGCGCTCCTGTAGTTCCAGCTACTGGAAGGCTGAGCTGGAAGGATCGCCAGAGCCCAGCAGGTCGAGGCTGCGGTGGCCGGGAGCAGCCACTGCACTCCAGTCTGGGTGACAGAGTGAGACTCCAACTC